CTCAGATGTCGATTTGGTACCTTAGGCTCAGCTGGCAAATACTTAAAGAAACACTGGAAACAGGCAAAGTCCGATGCAATCAAGTTTAATGTGTCAACAGGCTTTAACACATACAACTTAGCGAGTCAGACTCCGGAGTGTGACTGAAAACCTGCTCTCAGAACCCTGGCTTATATGCTGGTGGAGATTCAAATGAGTCTCCAACTCTTTTTGCTAATCTTTCCCTCTTAAGTCCAATTCTATTGGTGGAAAACCTTTCTTTGTGTCCAATTCTGATTGGGCCCATTTTTAATGGTATAATGCAGCCTGGAATTTCCCAAGTTTTCCACCCTTAGGTCTGGTTTCGCTTTCACTCTATTTTTAAAAAACATGTGTATTTTGGGGACTTTCTATACAGTCCTCAGTGCTCTCAGTCTTATGCAAGGTGAACCTTTAGAGTGCAATCTGTGAATGTGTGTATGTATTACAGCATTTGAGTATGTGTTTCATCGTTAAACAAGACACAGTGTGTTCTTTCAGTAGGTGCATACAACATGATTACATAGTCTGGTGCTATGGTGCTATGAGTACTTTGACACATACAGCAATGTCTTACCATATTTAAATGTAGATTAAAGAGCTTTATAATGCCTTGTACATAAAAAACATGATCATATAAGTTTCTTAATCAATTTATACATCTTAACCTTGCTGCTTGATTTGTTGGCACAAACTTTTACAATACATTCCCCCCTTTGGGGCTACAATAGTCCAATATAATACTTTAATCACAGAGGGAGAGAAAAATATATATTCCCCCCTTTGGGACTTTATAGTCCCATAACTACTGATTAAGATTAACTATTACCACACCTGAATCATCTTCAGTGATTAGCAACAAGTCTAACACATAGATCAGATTTCATCAATTATCCTTTTGTCACCCATGTCTTCATTAGTGAATAACACACGTCATGTATCTTCTTATAAAAGAGCAAGCATAATCATCAGTACCTTTAGGTTTCATCATCAGTCATTATTACTTGTTATCTGATCATTATGGCATTAACATGCATAAATCTCCATTTTGTCGATTCATCATGTCCATATCAGTCCTTGTGACCTAAGAAGTGTTGAACCGCCACCTTCCCTCTCAGAATAGAGACCTCCGTCAAAAGGGTGTCTCGGGACTCAGTCATTTCATTAAGCTGGGCCCGCAGCTTCAGCAGCTCATTGGAGGAGTGCTGCTGCTGCTGTCGGCTCAACACATGATTCTCACCCTTTCTGATTGCATAGGTGTCACGGCAAATCCTGCGCAGTTTTGTAAACAGTACTGGGGGAAGACTGCACATCAACATGCGATAAGATCCTTGGGCAACTGGGTGAAGCTGGTTACGCAGTACAGCCTCAATTTCACGATCTTGCTTAGTTTCGGTTTTTCCCTCAGGCAATAGCCACAGATTGGCTTCAATGAATTCTGGGACTACGTCATACTCATCCTGCAGCCTCTGGCGTATATAGGCGTGCAGAGGTTGTACTGGC